CCCTGAAAGCTTATCAGCCAACACAGCAATAAAAAAAAAACTAATTGACCACTGCCGAGTTTGGACCCATCGGACCGGAGCCATCGGGCTGGACCCATCGGGCTGGACCCATCGGGTTGGACCCATCGGACCGGGACCATCGGGCTGGACCCATCGGGCTAGACACATCGGACCGGACTCATCGGGCAGGACCCATCGGACCGGACCCATCGGGCAGGACCCATCGGACCGGACCCATCGGGCTGGACCCATCGGGCTGGACCCATCGGGCAGGACCCATAGGACCCAGCGCCTCTGGAGCACATTATCTACTACTCTAGTCGATTGCGAGAAATCTCTCCTACGCCTTTTAAACCAGAGGTCGGCAATCTGTCGCTCGCGGGACAAAATTAAGGGTTGCAAGTCATTGGCGGACCGCACATATATTTTGGTTGGTGGGAAGCCGAACGGACTGTATTTTTTATAATAAAAGCAAGCAGTGATATATCTCTCGAATAGCATATAGATTTATTTCCTCATTGCATTGCAACTCAAAAAATCCCATTTGAATATTTCCGGCCCCATTGAACCCTTTGCGCATAGCATCAACTTTTCTGCGTTTTGTTGCCATTTGTCTAATTATAATTAAATTATAGGCTCATTAAACCAGTAATCGTGAATTTTATATTCGTTAGATTTGAATATAATTTATTCCACACGTGTCTCACAATAAATTCTGTTACCTAAAGAATATAATCGTCGAAACAGTTATTTTGTTACTATAATTCAGTGAAGCGTCGCGGCCGGATTATATTACTCCGCGGGCCGTAGGTTGCCAAACCCTGTTTTAAATAATAGATATCTATGTTTTGCAGTTATTATGAATAAAAACGTTATATATATTTATAAGTAAATGGATATCGGTTTTCATATTTTGTATATTTGAAAATTTCGTATTTCTCTACTTTGTAATTTTGATTTTGATAAATGAAAATATAAGACATCCCCCATGTGTTATTTTTCGGAAGAAAATTAAAATAAGACCCAGTCTTATTTTCGGGGAAACACGGTACGTGTAAGCGACATATAACTGAACATTTTTTTATACAGTAGCGTGGCCTGAACATGTGAACCAGGTTGTAAGCGCTAACACTTCAAAACACTCTTAAGTCTATGCCCACGAAAACTGAAAACAAATAACTGGCTAACTAATCCCATAGCCCCACATGGACTGGTATTGTATCGGTTGGATAGGATTTACATATTTATCCCGAGGAGAGAAAGCCGATAGGACGGCTTAACCATATGGCGAACCACGTCCTCTCGTCTGGTTACCATTCCATGTCGGGTATGAGATTCGTTAGTTATTCGTTTTTGGGAAGCATGGACTTGATGGTGGAGGATGCCGTTACCGACCAGCGGTTACGTAAACCAGGAGGAGTCCAGCAATCCTCCCGCACATACCTATCCCCGCATGGGTTTCAAACCTGCGAACCCATGCAGAGTAATCAGAGGTGCGGTGGCGAGCGTATTCTTAACGCTTAGCACGATGAGCCACACCGCCGCGCGGTAACCAGACGAGAGGCCGTGGTTCAACATAGGATTAAGCCGTATAATCGGCTTTCCTCTTTCCGGGATAAATATGTAAATCCTAAAAGAGTGTCAAATATTTTGTAATGAGTTATAGAACGGGAACAGAGTCTTGAGGTCAAGGGTCGCAGACCAGTAGCCTACGGTATCCAATATAAATTGTCCTAAAAGAGTGTCAAATATTTTGTAATGAGTTATAGAACGGGAACAGAGTCTTGAGGTCAAGGGTCGCAGACCAGTAGCCTACGGTATCCAATATAAATTGTCCTAAAAGAGTGTCAAATATTTTGTAATGAGTTATAGAACGGGAACAGAGTCTTGAGGTCAAGGGTCGCAGACCAGTAGCCTACGGTATCCAATATAAATTGTCCTAACCAAAATAAAATCGAAGAAAATTAACCAGAAATGCAGGGGTGGAGGATGTTTCCCCAATGAGCTCATTGGTTTCCCCAAGCATCAATTTTCTTGTTTACTTCGTGACATTGGCCAATCAGCAAGATGCAAAAAGTAACGTAACAATGACCCTTTTCGCATCCGCTCAGACACTTTTCTCACTCAGACAGATTTCCAGGCGTGGTCGTAAACATTGAGACACACTAATCAATGTAAAGTAGGCTATGGACCTTTCACCCCCGAAAAATTCTTCTTATACTTTACCATTGCAAAATTTTCGGGGCTATTTTAAGAGTGCTTTTGCGAGTTGGCGCCTGTAAAATGGGATATGTGTTTCAACCCATCAATATGATTCATCGCATACAACAATCTGTTTTTAAAAGTATCGGTAAAGAATTTTAGCCTAGTTAATCTATGAGCCATCCCCCGACTTTTGACCCCCGAAAAATTCTTCATTATTGCAAAATTTTCGGGGCCATTCTAAGAGTGCTTTTGCGAGTTGGCGCCTGTAAAATGAGATATGTGTTTCAATCCATCAATATGATTCATCGCATACAACAATCTGTTTTTAAAAGTATCGGTAAAGAATTTTAGCCTAGTTAGTCTATGGACCCTTGACCCCCGAAAAATTCTTCCTATACTTTATCATTGCAAAATTTTCGGGGTCATTTAAATAGTGCTCTTGCGAGTTGGCGCCTGTAAAATGGGGTATGGGTTTCAAACTATCATTATGATTCATCGCATACAACAATCTGTTTTTTAAAAGTACCGGTGAAGAATTTTAGCCTAGTCTATCACAGCTATTTCTACACTAATTTTTTATTACTGCAACTAAATTAAAATTCCTAGGTCATGATCCTAGGTGACAAAGTGATCATTGAACTATCTGATTTATATTTGAGTTTCCGAAAGAGAGAGAGAGATTTATTTCGTCAACCAGAAAAAAAAAGTAATAATAATAAATAAATAATGGCTATAAAAAATACGCTTTTTTTGGTATAGACTGGAAGGAGCGATACGACCATGCGGTCATCGAAGTCAGCCCCCTCCAAGTTTACGCTGATAAATTCACAGTAAAATATGATTATTAGAAATGGTTGAAGTTCACGACACAAAATTTGAAAAAAACAAACAAAAAAAATGAAGTAAATAAAAGTAATTAATTTTTTTCCGTGAAATCAATTTTTAAATAATGAGATTTGTGAAATGAAACAGTTTGGGCAGATTTTCAACTATTACACTATTATTTGAAAGTGAGGAGTAAGCCCCACAAATAAAAAAAAAACAATTTTGGCTATTGGACTACTATACTCAATGTAAATTTGGACACATAACAATTGTTAGAATCAGCAAGGAGCCAGCCTTACATGTACGAATAAATTTCAGGAGATAAACAACATGGTACGCATGTAAAACAATTGTTTCAAGAGAGGAATCAACCTTCCAACGAGAATATCGGTCAGAGACCGAGGACTTATCGATCAAAAGTTAGGGGATCCCCCAAAAAAGCGCTATTACTCCATAGTGACAACTTGTGTCCCATCACTTATTGATTAATAACTCGCTAATTATACGATATACTTCGCCCATAGGCTTCTGATCCGAGATATGATGAATGCACATGAAAAATCTGGAGCAGATTCAATCTCGTTTTCGTGAGATATCGCGTGCATCTAACAGACAGACAGACAGACAAATACCTATCAACATACTTACCGATTAAAATCGATAAGTAACAAGAAAAATTGTTGGCAAATTGGTGACTGAAAAATTATTATATACCCCAATTAAGAAACAATTTTGGTAAACATACGATCGATAGTCATATATATAAATACAATTTAGGTTGAATAACTATTATTAGTAAGCCTTTCAAACAAGACAACAACTGTGGCATATTAAAAACTTGAACCCAATATTTAAATAGGTAAACGATGACTATTATTTGGAGCAGCAATAAATCAGCCTGACAAATAAAAGGCAGTTTTTGCAAATATACAAGTAGCCCTCATATATAAGTGGAAATTTGGATAAATAAACATTATTTGAAGTAGCGAGGGTCAGCCTCTCAAATAAACGAAAGATTTTGCAAATGCACAAAATATTTCTCAATATAAAGAATATGGATGAATGAATGATGTGAAGGTAAGGCAGTTTTTGCAAATAAACAAATAGTACTCAATATATAAATATGGATGAATAAACTATTATTCAAATCAGCAAGGGTTCAGCCTCAATATTAGATGGCAGTTATTGCAAATAGTACTCAATATATGAATAAATATATATAAACTATTATACAATTCAGCAAGGGTTCAGCCTCAATATTAGATGGCAGTTATTGCAAATCCACAACAAGTACTCAATATGTAAATATGGATAAATAAACTATTATACAATTCAGCAAGGGTTCAGCCTCAATATTAGATGGCAGTTATTGCAAATGCATAAATAGTACTCAATATATAGATATGGATAAATAAACTATTATTCAAATCAGCAAGAGTTCAGCTGCAATATTAGATGGCAGTTATTGCAAATAGACAAAGTAGTACTCAATATATGAATAAATATAAATAAACTATTATCCAAATTTACAACGGTTCAGCCTCAAAATTAAGGCAGTTATTGCAAATACACAAGTAGTAATCAATATATGAATACGAATAAATTAACTATTATTTAAAACAGCAAGATTCATCCCCGCAAAAAATGCATTCTTGGCATAAAAAAAACAAATAGTTTGCAATATATATTTGGATAAAAAAAACTATTATTTAATTCAGCAAGGGTGCAGCCTCAAAATCGGATGACAGTATTGCAAATACACAAATAGTACTCAATATATAGATATGGATAAATATACTTCTATTTGAATCAGCAAGGGTTAGCCTCAATATTAGATGGCAATTATTGCAAATACACAAATAGTACTCAATATATGCATATGGATAAATAAACTATTATTCAAATCAGCAAGGGTTCAGCCTCAATATGAGATGGCAGTTGTTGCAAATAGACCATAGCCATTATATAACTAGTCTGGAAGGCCGTATACTGACCTGTTGTTCACAGCGTCATCTAGTGTTGGCGTGGGTAATCCATAACCACGGCGTCGTCTGCTCTATATTTTTAGGCCGCTCGCTGCTAACGTTATTCAAAGTTCGAATGAAAATGGATTTATCTGAGGAAGAAATGCTTGAATTTTTTGATGACGTGAGTTATATAAAATTGGTTGCTATACTAAAATAGGATTTGGTCCTGAAATAATGAATAGTAGTTTAATATATGAATGCAGAAGCCGGCTTTGGTTTGACTAAAAATTTGGGCAGTATTTTTACATTACATTTAAATTTTGCTTTATATAAATACTTACGGCATATACTTTTTTAGACCAGAGTTTATACTTAAACTATTTTACAGCTTGATGACGAGATAGAAGAAAAATGGGGCATATCTGTAGTAGAAATTGACTACGGAAGCGTTGACTGCAAGAAGCAACTGCAGATTGCACTGAGTGATTTGAACATCCAGTTGAACCAGGAATCACCACTGTGGGAGGAAGTTTTGGCGGATTTGATGGAAATTTCTAGGGAAGAGTCCAGAATTAAAATGACAGCTGAATACATTAAAAAATTGCAGAAGCCATACTCTAACAATTCTGAAATACCTCATTTGGATGTAAAACGAATAATCAAAACTGCTGCACCGAAAATTATAAAAGAAGCATTTCAGGTAACCCTAACTGAGCCGTTCATGCAAATTTCTGTAACCGAAGACGATGAAAAGGTGATAGAGTACCTAGCTGGGGGATTGCTAAAATGGGGAATGAAGCGTCTAGGTGGAGAAGGTGCTTCATGGTGCGAAAGCCACGCTTCTGTGCGCGATCTTCCTGATTGCTTTCAAGAACGCAATAGAGGCGGTCTCATATCAGCATCCGAAACATTCGTTCGCTTCCTTATCTCTGTGGAACGTGAATTCCGGTCTCAAGTTTGCAAAAGGATAATAGATGAACGACGTATTATTGGAAATATTGACATGGACCCCTTCAGCCCCAGTGAATCCAGTATTCTGACAATTCTCGTGCGAAGATTTATTCGAACAAGGGCCCATATCCATTGCAATACTGAACTGCAGAATAACGTGTTAAAAAAAACAACTGGACCCAAATCATATGGACTTCGCGATGCTTTGAAGGATTGTTTTTCCAAATAATCTCATCATTATACCAAAACAATAAAAATTAGCCAACGGAACTAGTTTCATTTTGTGTTTTTTTAGCATAAGAAATACCATAGGTAAACTGAACAGGAATTTTGACACTAATATGAAGAATTACACAGACCTGGTAGAGAGAAACAAAAAATACACAGGCCAATAATTGATAGTTATTTTTAAAACATGGATGAGGTTCCATAAAATTATACGGGGAAAGAGAAACTTTTTTTTTTGAATTCAGTCTCTCGAATAAGAGGCATTTTTGGCGATCCATCGATTAATATAAAAATACAATTTTGGATACATAAACTATTATTAAAAGCAGAGACGGGCCAGTCACTAAAATTAGAAACGATTTAAGAAAATGAACTAGTACTAGAATCCGGATGTATTCGAAGCAAAAAGTTCAGCTTCTGGAAATTTATCAATCATTTTTAATCGCAACATTAGAACCAAAAACACTATTAAAAGATTTTACAACATCTATTGATCTGGAGTTCGATGTGAACAAACTTAAGGTAGGGTTTCCAGTACGGGAACCTCGATCGCGTTGATGACCAAAATATGCCTCTAGAGGGTCTTGGTTAATACGCCGTGGTAAAACATAGCTCGCACCACTGCTCAGAACAATACGAATAATCGCAGCCATTGAAACGGATGCCATTCTCAAGCCATTTCTTGTGGCATCACTGAGCAGCATTTTCTGGCGATTAACATCTCCTACTAGTGGCCGACTGTACGCCTTTTCTTCCCAATCATCCAGGTATTTTAGAAAATCTTTCTCAAGCCATTCTATTCTTTTATCATAGATGTTGTAAAAAGGCTGGCGAGATGGTTTAGCATTTTTATTCTGGAATCCTGAGTTCATGCAGTCAAACCACTTGTCTGAATTTAGAATAAACTCTGCTAAAGCAGAAAAACCTCGATTTTCTATGGCTTTACCTAAAAAAAATTATTGGTTTGAAATAGAGGTGAATCAAATTCATGCTGTTTTTTAACCTTGAAGAAGTATATATCTTACCTACAGTATAAGACAAAGTTTGTGCTGCGATACGTACACTCATTTTTTCCCAGGGACTCGGATTAATATGTGATTCAGTGATTTTATGAAAGAGCCTCAACTCTCCCCGCTTTAGATCTTCCTAAAAAGAAATTTCATTTCATGATGAAAGTGTTAAGCAGAGGCTTTCACAGCGACATATAGATTCATACCCTTATTAGCTGCTTTACAGGTTCCATATAGATGTCTTCTCCGTTCCACAGATTTTTTTTCGTACTGAGCAAATTATTACGACAGGTTTTCAAAAGGTGAGGTGGATCCGGCAGCATGTAGATGTACCTTTGAATTTAAAATTTTTGCATTACAACCATGCCTTGAGACATATGAGTGCCATCACATACAAATAAAAAGTTTTGTATACCGAGTAACATCAGCAGGGTTTCTCATTCTGTAAGGAATCCTGTCCTCTTTGGCTGCCATTAAATTTATAGCTGACCTATTTGCTGCAAGACCATCAACTTCAAAATGAAACCAAATCTTTATAATTCTGATACTGATATATTCAGGTGCTTAACTAGACTTAGCTGTAATATAACACACAAGAATGCAATGAATTATTACAACTTTTCTGTATCTTTCTCGTCTTTCTGTGTTTCTTTCACTAATATCTGTGTGACACCATTGTTACAAATTTTGTACAGAAATAGTTCTATGCTTGACTACATGCTTTTCCATAGCTAAATGCACACAACTTGAAAAAAATACCTATCTATGTCTGATCAAAATGATTCAACGTATAACAGAAACCACTGAAAAATTAACTTACAAACAATAGCAAGGATAACACAATGAGTCTGGTGAGGTATTTCCACCAAAAGGTCACATAATAATAGGACAAGATCCTCTGCATTGATTCCAGCCGTGGGATAATACGCAAGAACGCCATCCAATTTGTGATTTGTGATGCCTGTGAAATAATGATATAGTTTTAGGCGGCTATCATAACACCTCAAGCAAAGGAAGTAGTTACTGGTTGTTATATTCCAAGTGTGAACCGTGGAGTTGCACAATTGTACAGTGAAAAATGGAATGTGTGCACAGGCACTAAAATATAGGAGTGGCGTCTCTTATTGAAAATAACTTTACCTCGAACATATATCGCAAGGACATGATAGGCAATCCTGTTATACGATTTGGACAAATTGTTAATGCATTCATTTCCAAAATCGACATAACCTGTAACCTCCCCAGTGGATGATTTGAACACAAGATCTTCTGAAACAGAAAAAAAATTCTTTCTAAGCTGCGAAAATTCATGTATATTCTGGAGAAAAAATAGTAGATTTTGCATCAGGAGTTGCATAGCCAAATTAATAAAAAAAAAATAAGCCTACTCATTCTACTGAAACGTATAATCTGAACTAGGGCTGTCCAAGCGAACCAAATATTCGAAATCGAATCGAATCGCAAATTATTCGAATCGTTTTTCGGCTAATTTCCGAATCACTAAAATTAGGTACAAAAAGCGGAAACCACCTTTGCAGGACGTTTTCCATCGGACAAGTGGCGGCGCTTCGAGCTTAGACCACTCTCGCTCCCGGCTTAATTGGTTTCCCGATATATCTCTCGCCTTCATTTTGTGGTAAACATGTTATTCCTAATGCCCACCCGGTGGCACATGATCAGCCATTTCATGCATGGTCATCATAACTTAAAAGTTAAAATCAGTAATGACGTTTTTAAGAGAGTACACCATTTCATGCATGGTCATAATAACTTAAGAGTTATAATCTGTAATGACGTTTTTGAGAGAGTACACAAGAAGAAAAAAGGGCAAATTAGAAAACGATAGTTCTATAAATAGAATCGATTTGAAGCTGTTGAGTTAGTTATCTATCATAAGAACATGTTACAGGCAACTCAAAGCTGAAACAGGTGTTTTGGGGTCCTTAGGATGGCAATACCTTCTTTCAATGGAATATGTAATTTTTTATGATGGCAACACTGTATTATCCATCTATATACCAAGACAAATAATTGCACTCTTGAATTTTGATTGCATATTATAGTCATCAAACTAGCTTCGAATTTGTTAAATGCAATTTTGAATTTGAGCAACAGTTTTATCTATATTAATGGTTGTTATTTTATTTAGCTGAAAATTACACAAAAAAACATGAGACTAGTGAATAGGATTAGAATAGCATTTACAGGCTTTACATGTCCTATTAAAACTGAATCCATTAGAATTGAGATTCCTATTTTTGAATTGTGCAATTTTTACTCTTAACACTCAACAGTTTGAGACCCAAATTTTGGAGTCCTCCACTTTTTTTTGACCAGTTCACGCAAGCGTTTGATCACCTTTCCTCTGAAATCATTGTATTGCAAAATACCAGCAGTAAGTAAGATGTAACTGCACATATGTTAACATAACATTGAAGGGTAGGCGGTTATTGTATAATAGAGACAGATTCAGGATTGCGCAACAATATTCGATTATTCGGTTCGATTCGGCAAAAATATTCGATTCGATTCGAATCAAAAAATTATTCGAATTTGGACAGCCCTAATCTGAACTACCTTTTATAGACATTTCATCAACTGCAAGTACAACCATTTTGTCACATTCTTTCTCTGCAGAATCTGCTTCTAATTGTATACGCGCAGCAATGGATTTTTGAAATCCGTATTCACATGAACCACAGAAAGCATTTCTGCTATTTTGCAGTGTACGTGGAGCAGGCAAGACCATGATTCTTTGTATGAATTTATACGCAGATGGTGACTTTGCATACAACATGAGACAGTAACTAAAAGTAACAATTGATGTGAACTACAAACAATATCTCCCAGGTCTTTAAATAACTGGTCTATCAATATAACAAGCAAAAAGGTAGTCAAAATCGCCAGAGAGATGAATGAATTTAATAATAATAATCCGAAGTAGATTTACCAACCGAATAATAGATGGTGGATATCTCCTTCCAAATTTACTGTTAGATTTTTGCAAATGTTGCTGAACTTCCCACCAGTCTTTTAAAAACTCATCCTCTGACAATCCTTCAATCATGGAGGACATATTTGTTGAAACCATGATGCCAGCCTTTCGTACCTCATTTTCAAGATCACTTAAACTGCAAATAGTTTGTAAAACATGAAAGTAAATGAAAACAAAAGCCTTCGTCAATGGTCATTGCGTATAATAACTCACCGCTGTCTATTTATATTAGCTAGTGCGACCAATCTTTCTTTACTAGCTGTAGCATAAGTACACCGATTAGCAAGTGGAACATGTTTTAGTTTTTCGAATCTATTGGTTTTTCGCTTGTCACTGTCTTGATCATGCACATGGAGACGCATACAAGTAGAGCAGATGTTGGGTCTTGCACCAGCATAAGAATACGCTATTTCACATTGAGAGCTGATATATCTGTATTGATACAATACCAAAGATAAATTCAACAAAAATACAATTAATTATATATCTGTATAGTATATCTGACTGAACACAAATATATCTTACCTTAATTTCAAGGAAATTTCGCCAGTATCTTCTATTTCTGCAACACTTCTGGGAATCCATGAACTCTTTGTGGAAACAACATTATAACCAAAACAAGGAGTGAGATCAACCAAGTTTTTGAGTAAGATTGAAATTGAAATTCCTCTCAAACTTAGTGTCGATGATATAGTGGAAGAGTAAACTCCAGCAAAAGCGCAAGAAAAGTAAAATGGTTTTTGATCAAATTGGCAAATTAAAAGGCTTATTTCCGGTGTCGCATGTAAACTGTGATTAGAGTAGTATGTGAAATGAGCTTTGTGTGCATTAATTCGATGCATTCTCCAGTTTTTCAGGGTAATACTTTCAAAAGCTGTAATTATTTCATTGATGGAATTGTAAATCGAAGATTGAGATGATGAAGATGGACAGTCATTTGTGGATGAATATTTGGGAACAATCCTTCTTGGTGGGCAAGGAGATACTTCATGCGATTTTCTTGGCAAACATTTTGTAGGTAATGCTCCAAACTTAATCCAACTTCTTTTATTGGTCTTTTGGATATCTTCATCCTCGAAATGATCACCACAAATTCTGACCTTACCATCCTCAACTTTGCTTTTGAAATTAGGAGAGAAGCGATATTTGAACACAACCTGGGTGCAATAGAAAATTACTTAGCAATTAATATTGCAAAATAAGTGAGTTAATTAGAATACATAATATTAGAATGCATAAAGCACAAAATACACAGTGAAAACTCTTTAGGCTACTTCACATACATCAGTTGCATGCAGCATATTTCTGAAATGGAAGCATAAACTTCACCCATGCTTTTGATGGCCGAAATGAAATACGGAAGAAAGGGGAAAATTGTCGATACCAAACAAACCTGATGAAACTTTTGTGCCCATTCCTTTGAAGGCATTCCAAATTTCTTATTCTTACCATCCGGGACATGATACAAATGGTCACCATTCCCGGATGAACTTTTGCAACCAGGAATGCAGCAGTATGATCCAGACCATCGATGCTTGCTTGGAACCATAATTAAATCTGTAACTTACCTGAAAAGCAAATTACTGGCGTAAAAGTGATTAAAAATTGACAGCACCGGTACTACGGTACCGGTACCGGTACCTGTATCGCAGTGGCTTACGATAGGATTCTGAACTGCCTTTCCTGCATATACGGTATATATTCATATTTTATAATAATATTATGCATTTTTATTTTCAGTTTTCTATATCTTGTCAACTTCGCGCAACTTCAAATCTGTAAACATACCCTGTAAAAAATCCAACAACGCCTGTATGATTCGATTGTCCAGCGGACGACAGAGGTGTAAAACCCACGCTAACACCAGATGTCGCTGTCAACAACTCGGTGTCATGCAAGAAAGCTAAAGCTTCCAGACTAGTTATATAATGGCTATTTGGTTTAATTTCATTCTTTCCATGGTAAATGTTTCAATATTAATCTATTACGCTCCGGTGTCCGCCATCTTGGTTCATATACATCTTGCTTTCTTAACTTAGTCAATATAGTTTATTTATATTTATTCATATATTGAGTACTACTTTGTCTATTTGCAATAACTGCCATCTAATATTGCAGCTGAACTCTTGCTGATTTGAATAATAGTTTATTTATCCATATCTATATATTGAGTACTATTTATGCATTTGCAATAACTGCCATCTAATATTGAGGCTGAACCCTTGCTGAATTGTATAATAGTTTATATATCCATATTTACATATTGAGTACTTGTTGTGGATTTGCAATAACTGCCATCTAATATTGAGGCTGAACCCTTGCTGAATTGTATAATAGTTTATATATATTTATTCATATATTGAGTACTATTTGCAATAACTGCCATCTAATATTGAGGCTGAACCCTTGCTGATTTGAATAATAGTTTATTCATCCATATTTATATATTGAGTACTATTTGTTTATTTGCAAAAACTGCCTTACCTTCACATCATTCATTCATCCAGTCCAGTACAGTTATTTAAATTACACAGCTGAGCGTTTACTGCCAGAATATAATAATTGTAACAGTAACTGAATGACTGAGATCATAGCAATGATAAGTGGGTAAAAAAATGGGTAAAAATAATTCTCGTTAAATTGCAAAAAAGGTATGCCGTGAAGCCGGAATTTCGTATGGTTTTACTGGAGTCGGAGTATTATTTACAAATTTCCTGGATTTGAGCGCTAGTGGAAGTCGAAATTTATAATTTACTGACGTCGGAGTTGAAACTGTTTCAATGATTAGACTTTTAGATGAGAAAAATACTTTATTGATGAGAAACAACTGCCTGCTAATACCCAAGAAGGATTAAGTTAGCTACTTGTCTCGACAATGTATTAAAGACGCCATGCACAGTTTCTTTTCTTTTTGTATAATAGTTCAGACCCGGAGTCGGAAGTGTTTGAAGTCAGCCTCAAAATCGTTCTCAATTTGTAGCTGTATAGGAGCCAAGATTTCTTTCGGGGCAGAGACGGAATTGATTGCAAATTTTCCTCAGCTTCAAGGATCTAGCTTCAGTCATGCTTTATTTAATATGGCGGCAAATATTAGTAAGAGTAGTTGAATGATAAAATCAGATGAATTTTGGATTATTTAGCTAGATGATTTTTTTTATGTGTTTCATCTGAGATCCGTATAAATTTTTTTTTTGTTGTTTTTTTTTGTTTATAAAATTTTTTTTTGTTCTACTACACATAGTAAAAATATGGAATATAAATTTTTGCACATCGATGTGAGATATGATGCCTTCAAATCATGAATTTATTCTTTATAGTAAACCATCACGCACGCATTTTGGTAGGATTTACTCTCAACTGAAAATTTATGATATACAATAAGACGTGAAACAAGATCAAATTTCAAACTGACAAGTATCATAAAACTTTTTTCAACAATGTCACTACCTACATGTTAGCAAATACTTTACATGCTAAATACCAACTTATTCGCATATCAGCAGAGGTGAATATTATGAAAAATACGGGTACAATAATAGACCCGTGAAAATAACCAGAAGCGTAGAAATTCACTTTGAGTTACTTTAGCTCGGAATGAAACTTTTTTTTTTACCATTATTAATAATTTCATTCTGGAAATGTATCGTCGGTAAAAATGTACCCTACAAAGTTCATTGCGGCAAAACGATGGACTGATTAATCAAAATTGATTTTTGAAGTCATCCTGAAATGCTCATCAAGTATTTGAATTTTTATATTTCGATCAGTAAAGTGAAAACCAACCGCGAATGCAAACGGTTGCTTCTGATAAAAACCTTACAATAGTTGTCTGTAAATTACACAGTGCCGTATATCAATCATCTTTTATATAATTCATTCACACATACTATTAAAGTTTATATCCTGCATAAATTGAAATTGAGATTTTCGGATATAGTTTAAAACTAAAAGCTGTGTTTAACAAAAAGTAAAACAATGAAAATGCCTGATCAGTTTTAGTTCATTTTCAGTAAATCTTGAAACATAAGGATACCGTTCTGTTTGAATTTATTTATGATCGTTGTTTGTGTATTCGTTCGTTATGTTATGTTTCTGTTTGTAAATAGTGAAAGTAGAAACTCAACCATGCACATGATGACCAGGTGTTAAAAACATTTCAACTTGATGCGAATTTTATCTTCTTCTTTTTTTTTTCAGGCGTAGAAGCCTATAACGCTTTATTTACACGGTATTGGATTAAAAACGTGACTTGAAGTAACATAATGCAGTTTTTAAAGATGCTAAGGATAAAATGTTTAAAGTGGATCTCGCGGTATTTAGTAAGGTTTTAACATTTTCAATGTTTGAGAAAGATACTCTCGATTGGTCTAAATGATGCAAAGTATATTATACATAAATTTAAACTTTAAGTTCTTTGAAGAAATCAGCACGCAGCTGAATATTATTTATTTCAAACCTAGTGCATTTTCCGTTTACCTATTTCCAATAAGATATTTTCGTATTCGGATATCTCTAAATATCTTTTGATTACACTTCATCATATTCCAATTATTGTATTCAAATTTAATTTGTAATACTTCTTGGGCGAAGGAAGTTTTGATCCGTGTATTTGTCTTTTCTATCATTTTATTATAATGCGTGAAATTGAATAAATGATGATATTGGAAAGACTGAAAATACCGAAAACATGTTTTTCACGTGCTATAAAGTATGAGATGGATAATTTACGCTATTATACTGCGACACTTACGATTTTATTATATACATTCAATCGGTGTTAAACCACTAACTCAAAAATTTGCTGACTGTATAGTATAATGTAATAAAAAGAAATTAACAGCGCGACAATCGCTCTATAAAGGCAGCACCGAAGTAAATACTTTATGTTTCGACTTGATATTATGTTGAGATAACTTTTGGACGTTTATACCTGTTAGTAATAAGGCCTTAGAATATTTCCTTATAGTTGAACCTCGTTAAAGTTAACAATTGAATGTCAGAGAAATTTATAAGCAGATTTATCTGGAACTACGCGCGTGGATACAATGATAATTCGCAACAATATGCTACTTTTGATGATAATCTAAGAATACAAGTAATGCAATCTGAAACATTGCTTGCCTCAAAATACCCAAAGTGCAATGTGTTCCATAATCGTCGAGAAGGATGAAGATATTCCCACAACGTTGCCAAACTTTTTATTAAAAATTTTGCTAGAGGGCTCACAAAGAAAATTGTGAATGGTGATAGAAGTTATTTTTGAGCGCATTGGAATTACACGCAACAACATGTTTACCATACACGATAAAATACCTCCATGTAAACACAACGGTAAGAAACATCAAAAATCCACTAATTCCTATTATCTCTGTGCAAATATATTAAGATATAAACATACGATTATAAACCCTGAAAAAAAAATCCAACAATATAACTCGACCATTAAAATGAAATTAAAACGACAAAATACCTCCATTCCGATAATAAAGACGCACTATTCCGCAACAATAATAAACATACTATCAAACATTCTGTAAACACCAACATAAACAACTTCTTAAAAATCAGTAATCTTTACCTCCGAAAAATACATGCGAAAGCTCAAATATACGACCATGTGCACTGGAAGACACATCACAAGAAATTTCATACCCCAATATCAAAAAGTAATGTATTGGTTCTATATAGACACAAAAAAGCTGAAATATAAACGATGATTTTCATACAGATAAACAACAGTCATAATTGACTATCAAAAAATCTAATACATTAATAGAGTAATCTAATACACCGATTCTAATGTCTAATGGCTAAAAATGTCTAAAACTCAGTGATTTCCAGCGATCATGTGGTAAGAACGATTAAATAATTTTAATCTCTCATTGCCGACCATTGAATATCCTTCACATTTGGCAAGATATGGCCGTATAAAAATTTTCATATTTAGTTAATATAATACTATCATAAACTGCAGAAGTCCCACTCCCTATTTTTTTTATTCCTTTGTTAAACGTCTATATCTATTTTACGGAGCAAAAACGTAAAATCGTAACTCGAACACAAATGACAACATGTCCATTGATTTGATTGTCGAGTTATGTTCTTCAAAACCCAAATGCGCAGTGCAAATCCTTGCAATTTTTCTCCCACGGCGAGTAAGCAATTCGTTTGCTTATAACAGTCATCAAAAAAATTACGGTTAATCTGAAGACAAATTACTTCATATAAAAAAAAACAATCTAAATCGTTTCACTTGCACTAATCCTTATTAACAAACAATCAAAAATCTTTCGTACGCCGAATGATTACAAGCTTTATCAGCCATCCAATTATTTACCGGTGACGCCAAAGTACAAACAATCGCAAATATTCTCTTTAGCGGTTACAAAGATTAAAGAATAAGCAAACAAATTTTTTCGCTTGCGTTCATTTCAAACTTCTTTACCCTGAAAGCTTATCAGCCAAGACAGCAATAAAAAAAAACTAATTGATCACTGCCGAGTTGAACCCATCGGACTGGACCCATCGGGTTGGACCCATCGGACCGGGACCATCGGGCTGGACCCATCGGACCGGACCCATCGGGCTGGACCCATCGGACCGGACCCATCGGGCAGTACCCATCGGACCGGACCCATCGGGCTGGACCCATCGGGTTGGACCCATCGGGCAGGACCCATCGGGCAGGACCCATCGGGCTGGACCCATCGGATTGGACCCATCGGGCAGGAGCCATTGGACCCAGCGCCTCTGGAGCACATTATCTACTACTCTAGTCGATTGCGAGAAATCTCTCCTA